CAGCATAGCAGCATGTCAAGTAAAATCTCTTCCATGAGTAGCAATGCTACAAAGTAACCATCACCAGGAGGTATATGTTCACTTCAGTATGTGGTATTTTTAAACTTACTGCTCCTAGTATTATCAATTAGAGTTGTGGCCTAATCCACTATACATGAAGAAAATTTGCTCCCTAAGTAATATTCATTGAACATCAACAAATACTACAGCTTTTCTTTTTTTAGGCATTGTGCCATATTTTAATTACTTAGTTCTCAGTTGACATTCTCTTTACACCACATAAACTATTGGAGCATTTTCCTATTTAAATGGGTGTTTCCATATATACACAGCCAATTATTTAAGACATACTCGGTGCTTATAGGAATGCTACAAGATTGATAATAATTGGATGAAAGTTAAAATAAAAGACACAGATGGTTCTTTAGTTCAACAAGCCCTCTGCAGTGCTTTACCAGTGTCTTTGACCTGAGAATCTCAAAGCCCTTTAAAACATGAAACTTCGCAACCAGCCTGTGGGATAGGTAATTATCCTCATGCCACAGATCAGTAAAATGAGACAAAATGAGTTAGTGTTTGAAAGCACATGAGCAGCAAAAATGGACTAGAACTTTTAAGCCATAAATCCTAGCTCAGTGCTGTGACCACTAAACCATACTCCCTCTTCATCTGCTCTCTACTCTTTTATGCAAGGGTTCACCTGAATTAGAGAAGCTGCAGCTGGGATTTGCCTATTGAAATGCTTCTGACGTTGTTTCTGTTGTACCTTCAAGGCAAAACCAGAACCTAGAATCCCCTAAAAATAAATAAATACTGGTAAGTCTTTGAGGAAACGTTTTTAAACAAAAGCTTAAAGCACAAAATCAAAACCATTTTCTTCTAGGCAATGCCACCTCTAATTAAGGAGAAATTTTCACCTAAGATCAGTTACATCTTAACTCAACATTTCCATGAGGGCAAAATATATTTATGCAGTGATGAAATACAGTGTTATTGGAGGTATTCTGCACATCACATGATTTCACTAACTCCATTACACAAATCAGGAAATATTCTTTCCCAAGAAAGACTGGTAACCACCTCCAATTCACAGCTAGAATTTGAGGAACACTGTACAATTGATGTAGCCACACATCTCTACATTCTAAAAGCAATTGGCACATGGCAGTGAGAGAAAAACCAACTGAACTCCAAATGCATTTTCTACTTGTTATTTCCTTACCCCACAAATAAACAATTATTTTCACCTGTCACCTGTGGAAGAACTCAAGAAAACATGCATACAATTTTATAGAGTGCAATATTTCTTTTAAAATGGGTATATGCCTAGGGTAATAATTACAGAGCAACAACTATATCCAGTTTCAATATCTCAGAGGTTACATTTATGTTAAGTAATGTGGGTCTACACTCCTTGAGTTTTGCTTTGAACAAGACTGCAATGAAACTCAGTAAGAATAGTCAAGTATCTCCTGGTTTTGAAAAAACCCGTGGCCCAGTTTTGCTCAAAATATGAACAAAACTGTAATAAATACAATGAAACTGGGCAGAACTGAGTTCCTAGATGGACAGGCAACACGGTGTCTTTCTTCAGGCTTCAGACTGAAAGCTGCACACTGTCAGCTGACATTCCTTCGGTCTGTTGCTGTGGTGTGTGTAATGCTAAAGTCATTCTTAGGATTTTACTTCAAAAATTTCAATCCAAGTCTTATAATTTGGGGGGGAAGGTTTGTTATTTTGTCCTTAGATTAATTCATGCCTCACCTCTCTCTGCCCCTGATCCATTCTCCCCCCTCCTCTTCCTGCCCTTTCTCTACCCCCGCCCAACATCTTCCCCCAACCTCTTCTCCCAAGCAATGCAGCCTGGAGGAATAGTGGGCCTGGAAAGCTGGCACAAGTGGCACTGGCAGCAGGTGTCCAACTCCCTCTACACACACACACTCACCAGCAGCGGTAGGGGAAGCAGAGCAACATGGCTTTAGCTCACTCTGCTTCCCACCAGGTAGTGCAGGGATGGTCCCACCCCCGCCCCCACCTCATCCCCTGACAGTCAAGCTAGGAAAGCAGATTGAACTGGTGCTGCACTGCTCCACTGACCTGCCACTGCTGGTGAATGCAAGGGGCAGGGTGTTGAACTCCTGCTGCTGGTATCAGGCCTCTGCTAATCCCCTCAGATGTGAGACTCTGGCCCTGCAGACTCCTGACCAGCACCTTGCTCCTTCCACTCATAGCGTTTAGGGAGCATGTGCCCCCCCTTGTGCCACTCACATTGCTCATCCCCGGCAAAGGTGCTTTGCAATAGCCCCGATTCAGATTTCCCGGTTGCAGAAGTTGTCTCTTCGCCATCCCTCAGTTTGTTTTTTAAAATCATAAAAGACATGAAATTAAGAGGATCAGGGCTTTATTTCAAGTTTTGCTACTGGCCTGCTGGTCAGTTTGCCTGTGTCTCAATTTGTCACATGAGGATAATGATTCTTATCTCCTTTATTAAGGGCTGGAAACAGTGTGTATCTATATCTATATCAACTATATCTGGCCACCCTCACCATATTATCTGAGCACCTGACAATCTTTAATGTATTTATCCTCGCAGCTCTCCCATGTGGTAAGAATTACTCCTATTTTACAGGGCAGGCACAGAGACTTGCCCAAAGTCACACTGGAAGTCCATGGTTGAGCAGGAAACTGGGCCTGGGTTTCCCATGTCATAGACTACCGCTCCAATAACTGTTCCATCCTTTCTTTCACAAAGACTGTTACAACTTAAAAGGTGCAATAAACTATGTGGTATATGGTGGCACAAAATTTTAAAAACCCATTCAATTAACAAGTACTTGTATTATCTACACACATGCTTCAATGACGTCTTTGAATTTCCACTCACCGCTGGAAGTGCAAAGAAAGATATAGCAAACACTGAGAAACAGGAAGCTATGGTCTTCCCAATCCACGTTTGTGGTACTTTGTCTCCATAACCAATTGTTGTGACTGTAACCTGCATCATAAAACAAAGAAAATAGTCACTGCCAAGTTAAAAATTTATTCTAGAAAGTGACGTAAAAGCAGGACAACATATGAAAATCCATTTGGATTGCTGTGTTCCAGAGAATTTGCCTTCTCTCACTCACCAGGTCCTTTAGACATAAACACTATTGACCTGTGCCTAAAGCCCCAGTTTCTGAAAACATTTCCTTGTATTAGGAATCTCAGTTTCAATAGTTAGGACAGAGAGGGGTGAGCTACCCCATTCATCTCTTGGGGGCACAAACTCCAAAACCCATTGCACTGAGGGGCTCCAACAACACCCCATCCTCGCCGAGGACTCCAAGCAGGAAGAAAAAAATGCAATAAACACAGAGTGTAGATACACCAGCACACAGGGTGTAAGTACAAGAGGACCTCATTCTGTTGCATATGGCCTGTCTGGGAAAGGAAGCCCTTGCCACCACCACATCAAAGCAGGATGCAGGACCATAGGGGAGAAGCACTCATATCAAGCATGATTAACACACCAAATGGCAGGGCAGGGTTTTGATCGGACAGCCTAATGGCTAGAGCCAGTCAGACACTAGGAAGTGGAGTTGTAGGTCGATCCAGGATTGGGAACCAGGAGCCAGAGACAGGAGTCAATGCTGGAATGTAAAAGCCAGAGGTCAGGAACCAGAAGTAGGAGACAATGCTAAGAACTGGGTATCAGAGCCTGGAAGTAAGGCTAAGGTCAAGAACCAGAGGTCAGGAGCAGTGTGAAAAAGCAGAGACTGTAAGAGCAGTTAGTAAGGATTCTGCCCAATTGCACAGACAAATTTCCTCCTCAGACCTAAATAGTATGTCCAGATCAATTGGGAATATCCCATTAATCGGGCTGTCCATTTGCTGCATGACCCATTGTGTTTGGGTTCCTGCAGCTCCTGATATCTGAAGTGTTTTCATTGTCAAAGTTTTCAGATGGTGGTGCGGAGACAGTCACCTCTGAGCAAATCTGAAGAGCCTGGTTCTTTACGTGCTGAATCGTTCACCCATAATGATCTTTAACTAGCTCTGCCCATTGCCCTGTTTCAACACTGCAAAGATGTCTCAAAATAAGCTCTAGCTCCTGGCTACTTTTCATTCTGTCCAATACAAATCTTTTTAAGAGGCACAGCTACAAAGAAAGTTATTAGATTGTGGGACATGGTCCCAAACCCATCCCCCACTCCTTCCACTTTGCCACTCACCGTCCCTGAAAGACTCATGGTTAACCTATTGCCCTAGGACATGGAAGCTCCAGATTCTCTTCTCTCCTCAGCTCCAAATCAGACCACAATTTTTCATTCCATATCACACCAAAACAGGAAAAGTTGGGGCTTAAACCTGGCTCTCTCCTGAGCTAGAAAATCAGTCTCTTTACACCCTATGCTCACCCTGACGCAAAAACCTTCCTACCAAAAGTTTTGTGGAAACTGTTGCATCTCCTCAAAATTCTTTGACTTCAAAAATAGCCTATTTCATCAAAACTTCCTTTTGGCAATCATTTTTTGAATAGCTCTAGTGAAAATACTGACATTTAGGGCACAGTCATGGCAATCCCTAATTGTTGCGCTCACTTAGATACTATAAATGAGTAAATAATGCCTATTTCTTACATAGCCCTTTTGATCTGTATCTCAAAAAATATCACAGTCATATATCTACAGTTTTTTGGGAGTTTTCTGAAGAGCCAGTAAATGCTTGGAGAGAATATGCTTCCTTTATAGCAACCACCTCAACTAGTTCTATAATGAACTAAGAACAAGGACTTGTATAAAGAGAGCTGAAAATACTATTGAACTAAGACTATTCACTCTGTAGTGTCACATTTACTTTACTGACTCTTGGCTCCTCATTTGAACAAAATGCCAGTTGTTCAGCAAACTCAACATTTTAGTATCTATATTTCCTGGCAACTTTCCACTGTACGCTCACCTCAGCAAGGATCACATCTTTCCATGAATCTGTACAGCCCCTAGAGTAATGGGGCTCTTATAATGGACCACAGCCATTGGATACTACGCCAAAACAAAGAGTAATGATAATCACCAATGCCACATGTTACATTTCCAAACAATCAGGTCTGGGGAGTGGAGGAAATTAAAGCAATGATTCTTTAATAGCCATTCAATCCTCAGTGCACCCAGATGATCTTTTAATATTTTGCTTTTACTTCTCCCCTTCATTTTCCTATGAAAGGCTCCTTGTTTTTCTGAGTTTGCCAGCACTCAGGAATTAAAACCAACAGCAGTAATGCTGGACTACTCTAACACTGCTGTGGGAGACAGCATGAAAAGTCATAACCACAGAAAAGGGAGAGATGCTTTTCCAACCCATGCAGCAGACATTTGGCTGACAGATTCCTGCAGGTGTCTGGACATGTCTTAGTAAATTTCTCCACTGCCACTTGAAGACGATTCTTTTGTGCTAATCTAATTAATACTTTTAAGTATGGAGAATTGATTATAGATCATGTAAATTCTCTATCTTTCTTAATCCCATCCAGAATTATTTTGAATTTATTTCTAGCAGATACTAGGGGACTGCCCAGCAGATACTTAACAATTAGCTACTGAAAAAATAACCCTGTTGCCTAAACCAAATTCACTGTATCACATGTCCACCAATATCTTCTGCATATGCTCTAACTAGCTTAGCCTCTGAACCTACAATCAGATACACATGCATAGCTTCTAGAATGAGAGAAGTTTCACTGACAACAATAGGATTATTAATATGCTTAAAGCTCTTTCAAGATAAGGGCTTCAGAACCAAAAGGACCAAACATTGAAGAGAAAGGGACATTGGTCTGGCTGAAGCATGGGTATTTGACATCAGAGATTTGGTCAAATAGCTTAGAAATTGGTATTACACCCAGAATAATCTGATATAGACAATCAGCTATTTGATTCAAATTCCATAAACATAAATTAGCCCTGTTTTCATCAAAAGACACTGAGGTAGGGTCTCAAGACAGAGGAATGCAAATAAGAAACCAACAACTTCTACTCAGAAACAGGACTAAAAAATAATTTGAAACAGGAAGGATTAATAATTCTGCCAGACTGGTAATCCATTGAGAAATGCCTTTCAATGTATTTTAATAAGGTACTAATGGTGAAAATGGTTCATATAAGACACCACAAACCTTAACAGAACTCTGCAGTTAAATCTGCCATGCTTGACAAAAGTAGATGAAACAGTTCTGCATTCAGCTCGAGTGAGTGAACCTGGTTAACATTTGATTCCAAATTACTTTTATTTTTGTTTTATTTTCCTTTTCCCTTACGTTTAAACCTTTCAGGACCTTTGTATCAAATTCAGCAAACTTGCACTTTCTACAGTAGGCAAAATATCTCACATAATCACAAAATATCTCACTGCGGTTTTATTGTGTACACAAAAAACTTTCAAAAGCTGCTCCCAAGATTTTTTTCCGAACTGGATTAGTTTTCAAAAGCAAAAGTGAAATCAAATTTCACTCCCTAATAACTTCACATCTGTGTTTTTGTGTTACGGAAGGTTTTAAGAAAAAGAAAATAAGTGATTCACTTTTCTCTGTCTCACTGGTTCCAACTGTGAACTGCACCTGCATCGTGGCTCACTAATGCTGCAGAGGCCTATGCCTCTGGAAAGCTTAAACAATTAAAACAGCATTCTTCCTTCAAGTGCCTGCTCACACAGGTAAAAAGAAAGCTGATTTTGTATACCCCATTACACAACTTCCCCGCCTTCCCCCATGGGATCTCTACCTTGATGTGGTGGTGGCCTTGCGTGTATCAGGGACCCTCAGAGCTATGCCGGCGGGAGCTTAGTGTTCCTGGTAGGGCAACCCAAGCCAGACAGGTTGATGGGTAGAGCCCAGACAAAAAGCAATTCCCTGGTCCTCCAGGTTAGGGGTTGGGTGATGGGCTAACAACTCATCCCCATAAAAAATATTATGTTACAGAAACCTCTACATCGTTCAAAATCAAAATCATCTCAGTCCAGGGAAGACCAAGGGCTCCTCAGTGGAAGCTTATGATGTACAACAGTCAAACCCGAAAGGACACTGTCATACCGATGACCCTTAGTTGACCACAAACGCCATTGGGGAATAAGCTGCTTTTCTGGACGAAGTAAAAGCAGCTGGCTTAACGAGAGATCAAATCAAGACTATCGCTAAGGATTGCAAGAGATGGAGAATGACTGTGGAGGCCCTATGCTCCATTAGGAGACCAAAGGACAAATAGATAGATAGATTATATAACTCAAGTAGATTTTTACAGAAAAATCCCGGACCACTTTGTGTAATATATAAACACTTTAAAAATAGGTGGAAGTCTGCATGTACCTATTTAGAACAAGTACCAATTAGTACTACATTTTAAATGTCTCCTTTTCTGTTGAAAATTTTCGCAGTTTTCATGTATTAACGTGTAATTAAGAATATTTGCAAAAGATGCTCATATGAAGAGATTTGAACTCTTTTAAGCCCTGATTCTGTAGCCTTTATTCTGTCAGGACTGCAGGATCTAGCCCGTAGATTCCAAAACAGTTACTCATGCTAGAAAATTGGATTTAATTCTGTAAACAAATTCCTACCACCGGCTAAAAGACAGGGATGTTTTAGTGTTTATTTCTTACGGAGGTATTTATATACCACAGTAACAGAAAACCTTATTAGACCATAGCTAAACAGTCCAAATTTCACAACAACACAGATCAGCATCCTTCAACAATTACAATATGTTGAACTGTTCATCCATATTTATCACACACACACACACACACACACACACACACACACACACACACACACACCAGTTCACATGTTGCTCCTAACCTTTTTGGATTGACAACACTGGAGGAATTTAAAAGCTTCTCACAAAATCAGCAAAACTCATGCTAGCTCTGGTAGGAGCCTTAATGTTGTTGAGAATCCCACAGCAAAACTGTCTTCTAACACTATTTTGTTAACATTTACTTTTTTATATATATAGTGGTAAAAATTGTTGCTAAAATTTGTTGAACAACCATGCACCCCTCCCTATTTTGAACACTAGTTCAACTGAACTGTTGTAAAACAAGTAGGAATTGATTATAGTGAAAGTGTCCTCAGCATAGACATGATCTCTCAGGATGTCAGTGTAAAAAGGTGCGGACTTGTTTGACCTTTGCTAAAAATAAATAAATACCAAAACCGTAATCTGTATTTATGGAAAATGTTTTCTTAAGCCCCATTGAGTAGAGGTTGTTTAATGCCCACTCACACAAGGGTTTAAATGCCTTATAAACTTTGTACCATATATGTCTTTAGGGAGATTTAAACAAATGATTATCTTTGTGGACCACTATTTTTCCCCGTCAGATTATTTCAGAGTGGGGTTTTTTTGGTCAGGGTATTTCATTTTATTGAAGTACATTTCTTGGATGCTTAGTGTATGCTACAAACTAAGTATGATAATGTAGTGGAAATGCAAAAGACGATTGTGAGGGCGAGGAAATTAGGTAGTGTACCACAATTGTTCCTTTTGTGCCTGCATTTTCTTACAGGTCTGGATGCTCTAGGCAGCCATTTGTGCTTTTTGCTTCTTATTATTCTTTTGTTATTCTCAAAGATGTAGGAATGCACTGTTGACTTTCAACAAGTTCTGGAACAGGTCCCAAGGCCAGCCACCTGGCATGGGAGTGCAGGAGTGTTTGGGAAGATCACATAGCTATTTATGATGAATGTTTCCCACCTGATAATGCTAATTATTTGGCTTGGGAAAATATGCAAAGTATCAACAAGCTAATTATTGGATCTGGGAAAATATGCAATGTATCAACGATCTTGTTAGGTTCTCAAAACAACAGGTGTGATTACCGGGAATATTCCTAACATTGGAACCTCGGTGTAGACCCGTGGTCACCAACAGGTCGATCGTGATCAACTGGTCGATCGCAAGGCCTTGACCAGTCGATCACGAGGCATCCTGTCCGCCCTGCCCCCATTTCCCTCCCACCCCCAAGAAGCCCCACTACCTACCTCAAGTGAAAATGGAGGTAGTGTCGGCTTCCCGGGGATGGACACAAGTCCCGCAGCTTAGCGCCACTTCCGGCAATTCTGGAAGTGCACTAGCTGCTCTGCCGGGTGTACTGCAGGAGGGAGCATCGGCTCCCTGCACCACACAGGAGGGGTGAGTCAGTTCCGGGGCAGGCACGTGCAGGGGGGGGTCAGTCCCTGCGTTGGG